GCATGTGGTGTCATAGCTTACTTTAGTTGCGCCCTCCCTCCTCCCTTTCTTATTTCAGTCGACCCAATAGGCCCAATAGATACTTTATGGGTTAAACTCAAACTCTCAGGGTTCGCCACACTCCTACTTGGAGTCGTATACCGTCCTCCCCAGAGTTCTCCCATCGAAAGCCAACTATTCATTGACCAATTAAGGTCAATAAGTAGAACTCATCCTTTCACCCACCTTCTAATTACTGATGATTTTAATGCCCCGGGTCTTGACTGGCTTAGAGCATACTTTTCTGACCTTTCTTTTGGGCGTCCTCTTATTGACCTAGTACTAGAAAACTCCTGGACTCAACACGTGGAACAACCTACGAGGTTCCGCCCAGGACAGGCTCCTTCATTGCTAGATCTTACTATAACGAGTGATGACAATTAGATCGACGTGGTAAATCACCTTCCACCTCTCGGAAAAAGTGACCACGTAGTTCTGCTGTTTGACTACATTATAGACTGGAAAACTAGGATGGAATTTCCACAAATGGTCAGATCGTTCAAGCGTACCAACTTCGGCTCCTTACGAGAGTTTCTTAAGGCACAGTTTCACGACCTTCCCTTGGACCTGCCTATAGAGATTCTTACAGAACATATCGAACAAATCGTCACTTCAGCTGACGAGCGGTTCGTCCACCGTGTTCTGGCACGCCTTAGTTCTGATGCACCTCTCCCTCGGCCCATCCGCAGACTTTTAGACGAGCGATCTAGACTGTTTGCAAGATGCAAGCAGACGGGACTTGAAGCTGATGAACTAGCCTTTAAAAGGCTCAGGAACATCTGCCGCTCATATATTAGAGAGTACAAACTGCGTACTCAAAGAGCCATACTTGAACGGGCTCAGAGGAACAGACCGTTCCTTTACAAGCATATCCGTCGACTGCGCGGCTCAGCTAACCCCTCTCTTGCCCTCAAGTTACCAGACGGGACAGAAGTAACTCTCCCTTCACTGATTGCGGATGAATTTAAAAAGCACTACCACATCATCTTCAGTTCCGTTTCCATCACTACCCAACCGATACTACAACCATTTCCATTAAACTCTACGCTTAGCCGCGTCACCTTTCCACTGTCAGACGTAGAGAAAAACTACGAAACCTCGACCCTTACTGCTCCATGGGGTCTGACAAAGTGCACCCTAGGATTCTTAAGGAATCGGCGGATATTTCAGCTGGCCAATACACCCGACTCTTCCATCGGTGTATGGATGAGAGAATATTTCCTTCTCGCTGGAAAGCCGCAGTTCTCTCCCCCATATACAAAAAAAGTAGCAGATTCCTTCCAGTAAGCTACTGTCCTATCTCCCTGACTAGCGTCTCTAGCAAAATTCTAGAGCGCATGCTGAAAGAGGCCATCTAGAAGCACCTCTGCGCAAATAATTTACTCTCTACCTTCCAGCATGGATTTCTGCT